GTGGCAGGGGTCCAAACACTTGGACCATATTTTTCTGCTTTTCCCAGTTCATTAGCAGGGAAATGGATCAGAAGTGCAAAAGCCAGGACATGAACCAGTGCCCATATGAGACACCAGCCTCACAGACAGCGACTTTACCAGCTATGCCACTATGTCCTCCTCTGTTATCTTAACATTTTAATGTATTTAACATCTTATTTTTTCTGACATTTCTTGCATTCTGAGAGTGATTGTTCTTATTTTTTCTGTTTTCTACACCTTGCATCATATTATTGGCTATACACTATATAAAAAGGGGGGGGGTGGATGAAGAAAAAGAAAATAGGACATAAAGAAAAGGGAAAATAAGTATTTCAATTTTCTGCCTCAACAATAGTTTGAAAATGATCTTGACAAGACAAATTATCCTCCAATCATTGCCCTACACCATAATATTTGAAGTAGAAATGACCCCAAAGTACTGATATTCAGAACAGAGTGACCTAATGTGATGATATCTGGATCTTCTATTATATATTGCATTGTCCATAGGTTGTAGTGACTGTTACCTATAAATGTCTAAAGACAAAGGAAACATGGAAGGAGGATTACACATTCAGAGCCTGATGGGTTAGAGCTGTTCATTATGAAGGACATTTACCATGTTTCTCCTTAGGATCCCATCAGTAAAATGAAGATGGCCAGATATACTTTCTCTGGCTTGTGGGAAGATCAAAAAATCAATGATGTGAGCCACTTGTGGAATGTGCAAAAGATAAGGTTCTATGTGATGAATGATTCTTTTTTGTTTGTTCCATGAATGGTAAAGAAGTGGAAGTGGGGACCAGTGTTGTGGCATAGTGGGTTAAAGCCCCATCCTGCAGCACCAGCATCCCATATAGGTACTGGTTCGAGTCCCAGCTGCTCCACTTCTGATCCAACTCCCTGGTAATGTTACCCTGGGAAAGCAGTGGAGGATGGACAAATCCTTGGGCATCTGCACCCACATAGAAGACCTGGGAAGAAGCCCTGGCTCCTGGCTTTAGATCAGCTTATCTCCAGCCATTGCAGCTACTTGGAGAGTGAACTAGTGAATGGAAGACCTCTCCCCCCCCCCCATAACTTTCAAATAAATAAAATAAATATTAAAAAAAAAAAAAACAGTGGAAGAGCTCAAGGGAGAATCAGACAATGAGAAATGACCCTACCAATCTCATTTCTTAAAAGATTTATTTATTTGGAATGTCTAGTTAGAGAAAGAAAGACACACACACACACACACACACACGCATAACTGGTTCACTCCCCAAATGGCTGCAAAGACCAGAGCTGTATCAGGCCTTCAGGAACCAGGAGCTACTACTGGTTCTCCTACATGGGTGGCAGGGGCCCAAACACTTCTGTTGCTTTTCCCAGGCACATTAGCAGTGAGTTGGGTCAGAAGTGGAGCAATTGGAACATAAACCAGCACCCATGGGGATGCTGGAGTCACAAGGGACAGCTTAACTGACTGTGTCACAATGATGGCCCCCCACTTCTTTTTTTTTTTATATTAAACTTTCACATAAAGTTGGGCTTGAGAATATGTCCAGATTTGTATTTTTTTTATTTTTTGACAGGCAGAGTAGACAGTGAGAGACAGAGAGACAGAGAGAAAGGTATTCCTTTGCCGTTGGTTCACCCTCCAATGGCCAATGAGGCCGGTGCACCGCGCTAATCCGAAGCCAGAAGCCAGGTGCTTCCTCCTGGTCTCCCATGCGGGTGCAGGGCCCAAGCACTTGGGCCATCCTCCACTGCACTCCCTGGCCACCGCAGAGAGCTGGCCTGGTAGAGGGGCAACCGGGACAGAATCTGGCGCCCCAACCAGGACTAGAAATCGTTGCCGCAGGCGGAGGATTAGCCTATTGAGCCGTGGCGCTGGCCAGAGATTTGTCATTTTAAATACACATCTTTAGGATGTCAATTACCCATTTTCCCCCATTCCCTGTTAGTGTTCTGGCTGTTCTATCTATGCAGAATGCCGAAGCATCTTCAAAACAAGTGTGAGTTACTCACTGTGGAGTAACACAGGGAGGAAAGGGAGCTCACTCACTTTCTACTCCACCCTGTGTAAGGTGGATTTATCAGAATTATAGTTTTGCAAAAGAATTTTAATAGGTAAATATCAATCTGGCTGAAAATGGTTTTAATAGTGATTAATATCCTACTCCTAATAAAAACTTGCTGCCAAAATGCCCCCAGAAGATGGCATTGTTTACACTACTGTCTGAGAGGAACAGCTGTTTACCCCTCACGACTTTCAGAGCTGCAGTATTCTTACTGAAATGTTAACAAATCTTAAACAAATGTCTACCATTTAAGGCAGAAAGTTGCTCTGAGAACAGGTGTGTTCGAGAGAAGGAAAAAAGCTACCACTGTAAATAGGACTTTAAATTAGGTGCAATTTATATACTATACACTGAGTGTGCATATGGACATCTAAGTACACAGTTCCAATATTTACTAATAAGTTAAAGATAATTTACAGTTTGGGGACTTCATGGTAATAAATTTCTCTGACTTCCTTTTAGGGTTTATTCTGAGGCATTTTGCTGGCACACATAATTCATTTTAACTCATCTGCCAATAAATGAAGTCAACATGTGTATAATTTGGGGAATATTTTATTTAAGCAAATATTTTTGGAAAGGTATAGAAGATGAGATGCTATCGTGAGATATTTATCTCATTGTTCTCTGGCTATCATTTTCCTATACTTAAAAATTAAGTCTCGAATGTTAGCAAGGATGTGAAGGTAGGGGAAATCTCACAACTGCTGTGAGATTGCCGTGAGGGGAAGGAGGAGAAAGAGCTCATAGCACCAATTTATAGAATAATTGGCAACACCTAGTAAAGCTGAAAATAATCATTTCCTATGACCCAGAAATTATTGCAAGTGTATGTGTGAGGACAATTAAGTATTTGATACAAAAGTATATAATTTATCATATGAAAAAATTGGAAAAGCTTACAGAGTAATAATCCAAAGGATTTGTGAATAAATGTTGACATATCTGTAAAATGAAATACAATACCACAGTTAAAATGAAAGAACTAGGACTCCATGTATTCAATGCATTAAATGTCAAAAATAAGTATTATATTGCCATGTACAGAATGAAACTGTATGTTACCATTTATATATAGGTTAAATACAATCAAAGCAACACTACACACTGTTTAAGGATGTAAATATGTTTCGTAAAAATAGAGAAAATGCATCATGCATAGGTATGAAATGCACCAAATGGATTAAGTAGTTACTTCTACATATGTGGGGAGACCAAGAAGGTCAGACAAGAATTCAAAAGGCACTTAAATTACATCCATAATATTTTATTTCTTTTACCAACATCCGAGTGTCACATTCACCTAGGATATTCAGACGTGTGCCATGGTTGATTACATTTCCTTTAGATTTCCAGCACATTAAACATAACCAGTTAGGTGTTTACCACATGGGGTCCTCAAAGGCCAGGACTGAGCTCCTCCAGGCCCTCACTACAACCCCATGCAGCTGAAATTTGAACCTCAGATACCCCACTCTCTGTTAGCCCCCTGCCAACAAAGCAGCTCCTTAAGCCCCCTAAAGTCTAATGTTTCAGGTTGTGCCATCCCTTGGGTGTTGCCTTTCCCCTACAACTAAAGCTTTAGTGGAGGATATCTTCTGGTTGCCCCCAAATTAGTGACTTACATAATTAATTTCAGTTAGAAGCTTAAAAATAGCAGAGGGTCAGAATTCTTACTTCCCTGAAAAATACTGAAGTTACTAATCCAGTTGCCATTCAACTGTCCGTTGGCATTCCAAGGATCTGAGCCCAGCTCTATTTAAAACCACAGGGTTAACCTCAGGACTCACACAGAAGCTGCCTGAAACCCAGCAGAAGCTGGATGCCGTGGGCTGCAGGAACCTGGGTGTAGGTAGCCTCAGCCTGCACAGCTGCTACCCCTGGGGCTAGAGGTCCGGAGAGGTGGGGGCATCAAGTTACCCTGAAGTGGTTAGAGTCCGCTGAACCTAACTGGATTGCAAGCTTCACATGGGACAAATCATTAGGGTCCCTCATTTTGTTGGGATTTGACAGCTTGCAATAAAAACAAAGTAAGTTGATTTATGGCAAAGCAGAGAGTCCCCAGATACCCTCCTGGAAGTCAGAGACAAAATCAGGGTTCCTTACAGAGAGCCTCCAGGAAGAATAAAGACCATCCTTTTCCTCTATTGAATGCAAATCGCTCCAGCAGAGCCCCGGGATTTCGCGTTGCAGGGCTTGCACGGCGACCCTCCTCCCTACCACACCCAGCCTCCTCCCCACGCCGCCCCTCGGTCTCCGGAGCCACCTGGAGCCCTGCAGGGCTCTCCCGAAGCAAGGCACCCATTGCAAGGAAGGAGGGAGGAGACCTGGGTGCTGAAGGCCCAGGAACAGGGTGCGGGGTTGGGGTAGCCGGGGAGCAGCCGTTCTGTTGGATCGCTACGTTGGAAATCCCAATCAACCATCACGCTTCCCTGCTAGAAACTGAACGCAAAGTGAGGATTTAATAGCATAATTCAAACCCTACTCGATCTCCCTTCCAAATGGGGTGGTGGTGGTGAGCGGGGCAACTCCTTAGCGCATTTCAAATCTCTCCACGGGAAATACTCTCTTCCTAACGCGTCCTGGCTTCCAACTCCTTTTTGCCTTCTTTCAGCAGCGTTTTTGGGAAAACCTGGTTTAAATTTCTCTCTACCCCAAATGTGAGGACGAGAGAAGGAGGGAGGAGGCAGAGAAAGAGAATGGGAGAGAGAGAGAGAGAGAGAGAGAGAGAGAGAGAGAGAATCTCCGTTTCCTTTCCCTCCCAGGTAGCCCAGCCGAGGCGCACCGCAGCGGCGCGGGGAAACGCACCCGAGCGCGGCGGAGACCCGCCTAGGCCGCTCTTATAGGAGAGTGCGGGGCGGGCCTGGCCGGGGGCGGTGCCGCGCGGCCGCGCTCGCCTATAAGGAGCTGTCCGCCACCCCGGTGCTGATTCCAGCTCTGGCGCCCGGCGCGGTGGATTCGGCCGTGCCGCGGGCTCGGCGCCTTGTCTTGGCAACCGAGTCTGGATCGGCCCCGTTCCGGAGGCAGGGGTGGGGGGCAGAGGAGGAAGAGGCGGGCGAGGAAGGCGAGGACAGTCAGCGGGCGGCAGGTGCGGGATTGTCGCCTCAGCCGCAGCTCCGGAGGAGCCCTCGCCACGGTTTCGGTGGAGCGTCTGGGCGCGGGATGGAGTGAAAGAGCGAGTGCTTCTCCAAGGGGGGGTGGGAGGGGCCAGGCAGTGCGGAGGAGAGAGAGCGAGAAAGAGAGAGAGACAGAGAAGAGAATAAGCCGCGGCTGACGCCTGCGAATTTGGAATTCGATCCGGAGGGACCGCTCACTCGCGGGAAATGGATTCTGTACCACGGCTGACCAGCGTTTTGACTTTGCTGTTCTCTGGCTTCTGGCATTTAGGATTCACAGCGACAAATTGTAAGTACCCGGAGCTGGGGGGTGGGGGCTGGGGGAAGATAGTTGAGGTGGGAAACCATAGCTTTCAGAAAGACAGATAAATGTCCAAACGCACTCGGTGTTGTCTGCCCAGGGCAGAGGAAGAAGGGGTGAGAAATGCTGATTAGTGTGGTTACATCGCTCCAGCCATCCCAAAAGTTAGCGGAGCTCGGTGGAGCCACCCTGCCGGATTTCCTGCCCTTCTCACGGAATTGCAAAGTTCGAGGGCGCAGGGAAGCTTCCTGCTTGCTCTGTGGTCTCTGCCTGCCTCGTCTCGCCCAGGGTTTTATCCCGGGAAAGGGCCCCCATGCAGACAGTATGCATTGGCAGCGAGCTTCCAGGGATAGAGATGCTCCCTGCCGCGCGCAGTGACAGCGACTAGTCTCTCCCCTGCCTCGGATTTGCTGTATGCCCAGCGCTTCACAATGCGAGGTTCTCCGCTTTGCCCTAGGCAGAAGGTTCCAGTCGGGTATCTCGCAGCCTATAGGCGTCAATTCAACAGGAGTGGGAGTTTTGGCCTAAGAGTCATGGCCCGCTGTAGTCAACCACAAGATCAATGGCTGCCCCCATTACAGGAGGAAGAGCCTTGATACGTACCCCACCCCCCAAATCTTTGTGCCAGGAAACACATAATGAGCATGCACTAAGGGTGCCCTCCGTCGTCCAAGTCCTCACTTCAGCGAGCGCAGGGCATTTAATTTAACAGGCAGGAAGGCTGGACACCCGGGGATGCACCACCTGCACTGTGTATTTAAAGAACCCAGTTAGTCAAACTTGAATAAATCGCTGGAGCAATCAGAGGTTCAAGCTCAATTGCTCAGCTGCCTCTGTAGACAGAGGAAGGGAAGTTTTTCTAGCTCTGGGAACTCATAAATGATAAGGAATGCAATTAAGCCATCTGTGTTTTTTTCCAAAGATGGTTTTTCAAGGTCCCTCAAGTTTCTGGGTTTGCTTTCCTATCATTATCCCCACCACCAACCTTAGAATTCCATACATACTGGAACAGTTTCATTTTTTTGTTATATGCATCATTAATAATAGGAAGAGATAGGACAACACTTACTATTTAGCAGTCCTCATAGCTCACTCCTCATGCTCGCAAGTCCAAGAGGAGGTTGAGCATCTCTTTTCCCGAGAGTTATGCCTCAAGAAAAGACAAGACAACTTTAGGTGCTGGAAACTGTAGAGAAGAACCAGTATTTCCATCTATGATCAGAAGTTTTAGAGGTCTGGAATCCTTAGTTAGCAGTAATGCCTGGCAAAGGTTTTGCTAAACTTTGGGTTGTAAAGCAGGGCTGAGGATGTCAACTGCTCCAAAAGGGAGGATATAGAGGGCCCTAGCTTGGAAATTATTTCAGGGATTTATGTCGGGGCAGATTAGACTCTGGTATTTCTTCTCTTTCTGTCTTCCACCCTCTCCCTTTCCTCCTCATCCGTCCCTTCCCCTTCCTCTCCTTTGAGATTGTTCCCATGGTGTTTCAAAAAAATGACCTGAGTGGTTAGAAGGAAGTTAGGCATAGCACTAAACTAGTTTCTCAACCTTCTAGAACACTAGAGGTCAGTATTGTCCTAACAATTCAAAGGAGTGGCCACAAACTGCTTCCCCCCCCCCCCCCCTTTCTAAAAAGTGAATACTTTGAAGACCCACAGGGTAGGGGTGAGGAATACGGTGAAATAGAGATACTCCATAGGTATATGATGTGGGCTGCTTCATGTAGCATCTTTGTTAAGAACCAGGGGGAAAATGAAATTTTCTGTAAATTAATTGAATTATGGTTAATAAGTTTTAGTAATACTCATAAAAAGTAAGCATGCATTTAAGATGTATGTTTATCATTATTGATACAGTGATAAAGCTAATTCTGAACATTTAAAATGTAACTTTGTGATAATGAGCTTTGGTGTTTTGTCAGCAGCAGTTTAATTTCCCCATTTCCAATCAACATTTCAATTGAATGAGTGCTGCTTGCTAAATATTTTGTGGTCAGTGTTGTTAAAAGCAATGATAAAGTGTTTATTATGCTGTACAAAATTCATCAGCTCAGTGAACAATAGAATGGCAGCAGAAAATTACTTCTCAACTCTGTACCAGAATCTGTGATGCAGAACCTCCATGAAAAAAGCATTAACATTACAGTTCCTCAAGACTTCCTTTGTCCAGTCTTTCTTCATTAAATATAAGGATTGGATTAACTGTTTATCTACAGTCTATTAGCATGGGTTTGCATATACTGAAGAATATCAATTTCTAGTACAATTGTTTTTTAAGCTTTTTTGTTAAATGTTTTTTCAAGATTATTCTTCCTGTAATTTGAAATAATCTCATGTCATTTGGGACAGTAGCCTTGAAAATCGATCATTTACTCAAGTCATTCTATGGTATTTAGTTACACCTCTGGATTTTGTTCAAGTGAAAAGAACTTTTAGTTGTTTCTATTCTTCTGATAATAATCTGTGATTATTATTGTTGTGTGTGTGTGTGCATGCATATATGTGTTTAATTTTCTCATAATATAACCAAAACATGGACATGTATCTCTAAGGAATAAATGAATGCATACCCTATTATAGATTTTAAAATTTTTAATTAAGCAAAATTAAAATAAAGTCACATTAGAAGGGCAAGCTACAACATAGCTGTTATAAATGTGCAGAGAAAATAATTACCTACCAGTAATGAAAACTCCGGAAATTTCCCCATTCTAGATTTTCAGGATATTATATAGCTACAATACTTCCTTTGCGTTTCCCAGGGGGAATTAGTTAATTTCAAATGTAGATATAATAGGCCAATGTTAAATGAAAAACCCATTTTACATATCCTATCAACTCCTCTGGCACCAACAGAAGCATGCACCTTGAGAGTTGGTTAAAGGGAATCCAGGAATTGGAGGAGCTAATGAGTTCTAGTCCCAGTTCTGCTACAGCTCAGGAGTCAAGCACTCATCTGGTTATTCAACCTTCCAGCGCTCACATGCTTAGGCAAAAAGCAGCAACTGTGATATGTGTCTACCCTAAAACAGAAGAGTAGCTAAGTATATAACTGAGGAGGGACTTCTGACTATTATGATGAAAGAACTTGCATTCAGGAGATAATAAGAATGCATTGGACACATATGGGATCACTATCTATGTGATTTTTGAGAAAAACATGTATTATGTTATCATGAAAAGCTTTAGTTTTGACCGGTAAATCATGTTGAACGATCTCCAAATACTTTAAATATCTGAAGTATCTAACTAACTTATTGTTGCCACATATTATGCTCACACAGATATTGCCCTGGGAGAGGAATCAAACATTTTATTCTAGCCCTTTCTCACAAGCAAAATGTCATCTGAGGTATATGAAGATGTCAATTATATTCATAAAGATCTCCAAATAAAGAGATGAACTGTATCTTGAATTATCTAATGCTTGTGCACAAACTCAATCAATAGGTAATATTATAAATATGAAGGCCAGTCTGATTTTTCTCAGCAAGAGACTGTCTGTGATACAGTTCTCATGGCATTTATGGTTAGCATAATTGAAGAAAGCACTTTTAATGCACATATAAAAGAGTCCTAAAGATGTTCTCATTGTTGAATTCACTTATTTTCAATAGTACATTTGAATTATCTTTGCCCTCTTTTATCATAGCCCCCTATCTCCAAACCAGGTTGATATTTCTACAACTGGAATATGTAAATTAAACACCAAGCTAGTAATTTCCACACAAGTATCCAGAATTATGACAAAATTTGTTTTCATTTGAATAACTTCCTCTTCCTCCCCTTGGTTCTTGTTCTAATGAGTGATCATCTTCCAAATTGCGGTTTTTTGCTCGGCTCCTCTGCCTAATATCATTCCCATTCTTTCCTGGGTACCAGATTTCTTTACTGAATTGCTTCACTTTTCACCATTTGTTTGTTACAAAGAAAGCAATGTAATATGGTATTATCTGAAATGTTTGTAAAACCTGTAGTTGGCAATCCAAAGTATTTTAGTTCCTAAGACAGAACTGTCAGAATATAAAGTGTATAGACAATAATAATTATTCTCACTAGACAGGAAAGTGGGGACAGGATCTTGTTAAGATCAGAAAACAAGAAGTGATCCACTCAGTAAGACTTTATTGAGAACTTGCAGTTTTCTCACTTGAAACCAATAGGGAATGACATTTTATTTCATAAGAGACAATGTCTTCATTAATGGAAACTTTGAGGCTGGTGACCTGTGAAGGTTATTTACTTTGATAATCTTGGTATATTAAATTAGGAATTGCATCAAATGATCACATAGGCCCTATCTACCCACAATTTGTTTTTGTCTTTTTCGTCAAAGTTGCCTATTCCACTTGTATATTTCTGAGCTGACTTGCACTTTGAAACTTATAACACAATTATAATTAGAATGACAACATAATAGGGTTATAATTGCTACCAACCACTATGCATTTATACATCTCACAAGTTTGCACAGCCTGGTAGACTTTTACAAATTCAATTTACAGATGAGTAAATTTAAGGTTAATAAAAGGTAATGATTTCCTCAGTATTACAAAGATAAGCAATGAAAAATTCAAAATCTGGGCCTACTCATATACTCTTTGCAAGATAGGTACTTCATTGTAATGCATTCATTGAGGTCCTATGGATAAATATCTGTAGAAATTTTGTATGAGTTCTCTATGATATTTGTCTGCGTGGCTATACCCAGAGCAGAGAGCATGGAAATAGCTGATCCCACCAGACACAGCCTGATTTATACCTTAAAGAACCGTGATGAAACATTTGAGATTTAACAGTGATTAGTAGATTTAATGCAATATGCTAAATATCATAATGGACAAAGATAAGTGGCCTCATATTTAGAAGAACACCTGATAATTTACTTTTTTATTAGTTTTGATTTAGAAAATCTTAAAGAGGAAATGACATGGCTTAATGAAGACTTGTGAATCCTTTTCCCAAAAATAACAAACATAACAATGTCATTA